TAGTTGCTCCTCTTGGCCCGTGGTTTTTTCCCTTATTCAGAAGGGTTTCCACGTAAAATTCTTGGTGTCGTTATTTTCTCATTTTATTTCCATTACTTTTACCATATATAATTTTGTGCTTGTCGGCGTTTTCCCAACAAAACAAGCTATGTCTGCATTGATGCAGTTCATGTTCCATTTTCCATATTCCAAGGTATCTTACCGTAGTTTGTAGAAGCTTTTTCCACTAACAGTAGAGTTATGGGAATACATGGACATTCAATTCCAAAATCACAAACCATTTTGGCTGTTACAGATCACTTGTTATTACCTTATTTACTATAGCAGAAAACATCTAAGGCTATTTGTATCTGTTACTTTTTCCGTTGTAAAGAATTTGGCCACATATAATTTACCTAGGAGATAGTTGTGCAGTGGACAATCAAGTCATAATACCAAATAAATTTCGAACCTCTTAATTGTTTTCCTTGGTAATGGTTGTCATTTTAGGTCAGTACTCTAAAAACAGAGTAAGTAAAACATAAAAAAGTTTGATGGACTTTGGGGGTGCAAGATTGACTGATAAAGTAAATAGTACAATAGATTTGAGCGAGAATATGTAAAAAAAGAAACAAGAGGATTAAAAAGGTGGAATGGAACATACTACTCTTAAACGGTACGGTAAGGCAACAATATGGGTGGAATGGAAATGCTGCACATGCATTTAAGGTATATTGAATGGAACAGCCTAGAAGGCTTGACTAATAAGCTACACTTATCACATGTAGATTCTGTTTTATGCTTGATGATTTTAAAGACATAAAAGTCATTAGTTGCGTCTGTTCAGAATCTCCTAATTGAAAGTCACGATTTTTGCAAAGTGAGTATCTAGCTAGCGCCATCAAGGTGTTGGTTTTTAATTAGATTTTGTTTTAAATCGAGAGGTATTTACGTAATTTTACATTAATGTTGGAGTTCATACTCTATGCATATAGATATATAAACAAAGAAGCTAAATATTTCACATACACTCAAATCTTTAGTTAACATCATTTGTTACAACAAACAAGTACACTTTTTTTTATTATTAATTTTACCACTCTATGATAGCTTTTTTTAATATTAATTGAGTAATAATATTTTTGTAAAACATATATTACCTATAAAAATAAAATATTGAAAATATTTATGATAGTGTCATGCACATACTAAATTTCAACTATGAATATTTAAGAGAAAAATTATACTTAAATAGTGTCCATTTATGTTCAAAAGGAAAAAGACTATTGTTGATATTTTTTGCATTAATATTTTTTTTCTATTTTGTTGGTTTGATTTGTTAAAGAAAATGTATTTATATTAATCATTTTGATCTCAAAATATCAATAACTCTATGACAATCTACATTCATCATTTAAAAGCACTTGTCCCATGGTCTTTCAATTAGAATTATTTACTAAAAAACTTAAGTTTAGTCATTAATTCTATTTTACAACATTGCATATATATATATACATATACATATATCAAATTCAAAATAACAAATATGGAAAAGGAATTGTTGAACCTTCGCACTTGTATTTTGGGATTTGTATTTTAAAAAGTACAAAAATGTATATAATAGATAATGTATTTAGTTTGACAACTACAAAATAATTAAACAAGGGCGAGCCAAAAACAAAAAAATAACAGAAGGAAAAGAAAAAAATAATTTCGGTTTAGGGTGTATAGTGTATACTTTTTCCAATTTGATTTAACTTGGAAAGACACATGAAAAATAAAAATAAACTAATCATCAATTCAAGGACCTCAATAGGAACAAAATCATTTTTCTATTTTCTGTTTTGAAAAATAAGCAACAAGAAGATTGAATTTTTACCAACCTAAAGAATTATCACAACATGTTTACCCAGCTCAAAATTTCCAAACTGGTAAGGCCAATCAGAAAATTATCAAAACCTATAGCAAACAAAAAAATGGTACGACAATTATGCTTTCGGAGCTCATCTTTTGACCCGCTTCTTTGATCCATTAACAGTATCCACATCCTTGTGGCCAAAAACGTTAATCGAACTGTCATCTCTTTTACGCTTTGATTTATCTCGTGTTGGCAAACTGCAGTAGAATTTACACAATTAGTAAGACACAAGTAGCACTGCAAACATTCTTAGCTTGATGTAAAACTAAAACACATTGATGTTTGAAGTTGAAACAAAAAGTTACCATGAGCACAATCTAAACCATAACTACCAACATTACAATAATTGCTGCTATGTCTGGAACATTGCATCTGGCTGCTTGAACAAAATGTTCAGAGGATGACTGATAACAAGACATGGTCGGTGACTCGTTCAGCTCATAAATTATACCCCTCCCCCCCACACACACCACATAAACTGGCAATGTTAATGACAGATATGTATAATGGGACTCCATGGAAAAGGTCCAGAGGAACCCCGGACAGAATATCTCACCCACATGACCCAGGGAGAGGGAGGCATTAACTATGAACCATACCCTGTAGCCATCCGTTGTTCCACAGCATTATTACCAGTCCTCACAGTAAATAAACCGCAAAAATCACCCAGACATTAGACTACTAAAAGAAATTAAACCAAACTGCAGCAGTATTACAGTACCTAATCTTTTCGTTCTTATGTGAGCCCCTCAGAGCAGCCTTGTCAAGTACACTTCTGCAGTACTGAGTAAATGGAGAACTGAGACTGGACTTCTCAAACTGCAGGTAGAACGTATATTTAAATTAAATAAATTATATTTCTCCAGTATGAAAGATAGCTGTTTCTAGTTGATAAGAAATGTGCTACCTGAAGGAATGTTTCAACAGATTGATGATCATTTGGTGAAAAGGCAACCTCATTTCTTTTCTTTTGCACAGAATCAACATTTTTCTCCACCTGCAGAGGCAAAAGAAAGCGCTCAGAACGAGACAAGAAAAGCAACTGATGGTAAGAAGAAAAGATATTATTGAGAAATTTGATAGCTTGGATCTTGGTCTTGTCTTATTTACCGGTGTCGACTATTTAGCCAGTATACCTTGCCCATCCTAACTAGGAAAACTAAAAGAAGCCTCAATGACAGAAGGGGTGGAATGTGAGGAAGAGAGAGACGTTAGGATATAAACTGCTTCTGAACACATGAATATTAAATAGAAACAGGAACAAAAGGTATCCACAAAGTAAACTGAATTGGCATCTGTCTAAGCTTATCTTTTCCTTCCTAGCCACAAGGCACAAGCACAACTTTGTCCAATCCCAGATAATGAAAAGAAACATTCCACTATGTAATACACAAACTAAATTATCAGACAAAGGAAAGGAACTCTATGATTTCCAAATCATCATCTCCCATGTACTTCAAGTCCTAACAATTTAATACATGAGAATGATCGTGTGCACATTAACTAAGAATATTCTATTTTCATACTTATGTAAAGGACAACACAAAGCTATCCTCCTCTATACTTGCACCGATAGTCCAACACTCATTATTTTAATCTACTTTTGAACCAAAGGAACCCTGTCAAGCAAATGTTGAATATGTGTCATCTCAAACAAGTGCTGTAAAATGAGAGTAGGATGGTTGCATGAGATGCCTTTGAGCTTTCATTAATTCCGACACATAATTGACCTTCAGCTGGGTACTTGGTGCAAATCCTGTTTAAAGCTGCATCTCCAGCATATTTTTAATTTAACAATTACGGCATCCACATGCATGTTTTTAAATGGAAATGGCTATACTAGGTTGAGTACCTGCTCAATCAAATGTTTTACCACACGACATTGACTTTCTTTTGTCTTTGACTCATTAAACTTTTTCAGACGGATGAGTGGAACAGTTGCTAGATCAGGGAAAGAAATGTGGTAGCTCCATTGTAAAAAGTGTGATGATAGTTGTTCAATTGCAGATGTAATGCATTCATCTTGGAATGTCTGAGACTTCAAGCAACTCTTTGGCAACTGCAGTATGTTCATTTGCAATTTTAAATGGTGACAGAAATACATAGAGAAAATTCATTTGCAAGATTGTCAAGTTAATCCTAACATCAACCAACCTTTAGAACAGACTGAAAGAAGAGAGCAGGTCCAGGTTTTCCACGCTCTCCGACTGTTTTATATTCCAAAACATCCAATACAAATGAAGCAATAGGGATGAAAACTCCAGTAGAATTAGACAGATCATTAAGCCATTGAATGCAATTGAGTCTTAAAGGGAAATATCTCGGTCCAGGAAACAGGCGCACCACTCCATTTATAAGTTGAACCATAGTGAAGAAAAAGGCCTGAAGATCATAATCCCGTACATTGCGTGCTATAAAACCAACCCAGAGATTTATACAATTGGCATACTCCCAACTGCAGATCCTTTGAAGAGCTTCCTGCACCACAGGATGATTAAAATTAGTCAATAAGCTACTTTTAGCAAACATATTCAAACTTAATCGTTAAAATCACAGGGCAATTTTAGATACCTTTTTCTTTGTATGCAAACCCCACTGTAATACTTTTGCAAGCTGACGGACAGACACGGTGGCTTTAGACAATGATTTTTGAACATCTAGGGAGCATAAGTCAACTAAGGAATTTCTTAAGAACTGCAAATGCTTGTTATTGACAATATCCATAGCTCTCGACTGAGCAAGATAAGCCACAAAAGCTTTTGCTAAGCAATTGTCAAACCAATCAGTTGTAAATAGAGAGGCCACATCCAGTAATATCGAAAAAGATGATGATGATAGCATCCCACCACCTGTAGCCCACAAATGTATTGTCGTCTGTTTCAACATAAAGGTCAAGATGAATAAAGGGATCACCATATATTCAGCTACATAAAGGTAGTATTAGCATCACAGATCAGGGAAGATTCACAATGTTAATGTTAAAGAATGACAAAAGTCCCAAGTTAGTGAATAATGAGATGGGTGAACTCCTTATAAGACTTGGACAATCCTCCTCCCTTTGAGCAAACTTTTGGGCTGTGAGTTGGGCCTAAGACCTTATTTATCATGGTATCAGAGCAGGGCTCATCTCACCCGATGATGGGATCCCAAAAATCAAAATTGCCCACGCATCAGATGCTAAGCACTGGGCGTGAGGTGGGGTTTTAAAGAATGACAAAAGTCTCACATCGGTGGTTAATGAGATGGGATGGACTCCTTATAAGGCTTGGGCATTCCTTCTCTCTTTGAGCTAAGTTTTTGGGGTGTGAGTTAGGTCTAAGACCTAATTTAACAGTTAACATAACTTGAAATTGCAAATCATATGATTTTTTAATGTGGGGAATAGTTCTATGAGGTACGACTTTAGTAGTAAAATAATTACATACGAAACTCTCTAGAAACCGCAATGGTAGAATTGAGATTCATGAAATAGTAATCTCTGAAAGTTCTCTATATTCCTGGTGGATTCGACCGCAACCTACTTAGGTTGATCTTATTACATACGACCATGTTACGTTTCGCATCAATTGTCAACATTGGAGCTATGCTCAATAAAATGCAATGCAGGTGAATATCAAAAATACGCATTTCAAGAATATACAACTTATATCAGTTCAATGTTCAGCTAGGGCAACAACTATCACATGACATATTATAGGAATTCACTAAGAGGTAACAGTATATGCATGAAAATTACAGCTAAACATATTGTTTATCTGATTCACAAAAGCATACATCATATATGGGATAAACAGAAGCAAAAAAAAAAGTTTATAATAAAATAATACAGCAAAACTAGCAATTCCACTAGTACTACTTAGTAGCTTATCAGCAAGTGTATGAACTCAAGTAATGCATACACTGATTAGATCAATTTTTAATTAAAAAAAATGCTTCAACAATTTTAATAGTCAATCTGGCATGCATATGCATAAGATGCCATCAAATCGCATGTGATGTAGAAGACTCTTCACACAAATCACGTGCTAAAGATAACGTACCTTAATAAGCCTCTGCAAGAGATATGGAAAAGCATCAAAGAATGGTAAAGAATCCCTGAGCCGAGTCAAAGCGAAAGCCAGAATTTCTGAATCAGTAACCTGATCCAACAGAGATAATGTACTTCTCAAGTATGATTTGATGAGAGGTTTCACATTAACCCATTGTGGGGTATCCTTCAGTTCTAGTACTGCTTCTTTCTTGTAACTGAAGGATGATAGCCCCAAAAGTCCCCGAAGTATATTATCTGCTTCGGAAAGAACAGACATTACTAAGCTGCAGAATGTCTCAGCATTCTGAAACCTTAGGCCAATGGATTCAGCACCATAGTGGCATGCAGCTCGATAAGCATTTAATAAACAAACAAATACTTCCTCCTTGTGCTCTTCTTTGATCAGTCGACACCAAGAACTAATGGCAGATACTGTCAAAACTCTTCCCTCGTCTTTACCTTGGTTGTCTTCAGTCGCCGAGTCTCTTCCATGATTACTCATCTCATCCTCATCTGAGAACTGCCACGAAGTTAATCAGAAGGAAAATACTCAAGACACAATTATATAACTAGCTCTAAAAGGAAATCATGAGGTTTCCATTTTGCAATCCTATTAGTAGAAAGACAAAACATATAAGAAGACAGATATAAGGCCAGGCTATCCAGAATATGCGTCCGCAATACAGTGCATATCCAACAGATATTTTGGCGAAATACATTGACAGCCCTCAAACTTGACAGTAAATTACATATAGACGGGCAAAATAAGGTTTGTTCCATTGAACACCTGAACATATGATAAAGTGTTCCTGTTAGAAACTTTCAGCTCAAATTATAAACAATAATTGTGCATATAAGTGCCTACTACATAGATAACCACATAAAATATAACATCGCCTTTAATCATACACATCAGCCTCAATTGTAACAGGTGTGAGGTTTTACAGCTTATGAGGCTGATGTGTATAATTACAAGAGGTGACATTTTAAAGTGGTTAGCTTATCTACATAATGGGCATTTAAGAAAACGACAATACGAGCATAAATTTTCTTAATTTGAGCCAGGAATGCCTAATAGAAACATTTTATCATGTTCAAGCCCAAAATAGAAACAAGAAGTAATTCAAGCATCTAAATGAAATTTACTTGCAAGTTTAAGGGGTTATCAATGTGTTCCACCTAAAAAATTTCACCACTAATTATGGATGACAATGTGACATGCATGCCCGGAATATTGAGTGTTCAAAATTATCCAATTAATTTGTTTAGGCAAAGAGGGTTCATGATTTCATGGGAAGAAAGAAGATAAAGATATTTTGTAATACTCTCTTTATTCTGATTGGTCTAAGCTTATCCAAAGCACGCATTAAGTTTAAAGTTGGTACTGCATAACATTTTAAAGCAAGCGGACCAAAGGTAGATTTTACAGACACTTATTATGAATTTTGAGATGGTATATAATGAAAGCAATAACACCAATTGTTACTACTCAACACCAAGTTAGTTGGCGTGGGTTATAAGAATCCTCAAAAACCACATCAATCTAAAGTAGGACTAATAAACTTGAACTTATCATCCCACACATCTGTAAGTAATAATCAATCTAGTCAAGATGTTCTTCTTGGATCATTCCCTTAGACACCAGTAAATATACCCCCATGTGAAGGAAAGTCAACTAATTCTAAATCTTCATAAGACTTTAGAAGTCCCTAATAACCATGGATCATCTATCGTGTACATTTCTTCCTTCTTCACATCTTCTTACATTACAATCACCTCCTGTTTCTCAAGGCTAATTAATCCAATAGCATTTCAGTACTGAAAGCTCTAGCTGCAAGCTCCCTCCTATTCCTCTAGTTGGGGCCATATACTCCCATGAATGTTGAAGTACGACTCGCAGTTTTGTTGGATGACAGTGAAACTATCCAGCAGTGAAACTGAATGTACGCCCCAAATAGTCTCCTTAAAAGGCCTAATCCCTTTTGTACCAAAAACATTACAATTCATCCATTGTTCTCTTCTTACTGCAAAAAGGCTTAGTCAATCAACCTATTTCGCCAAATACTCCAGTCCAAATGAAGACCCGAATAATCTGTTTTAAGTCGAACAATAGGTGTTGGTTCTCCATCTACGTGTCAGTAACTTTTTAGCCCCATCACCTATGTCTTTTGTTTACCACTCAACCCCTATATATCCCAACTGATGGTCTTTTGTATAGATAAACAAGAAGCCTAAATTGCCTCTTATCATCTCTATCACCGTATCTACATGAAATTCTAATTTCTTTCATTTTCTATAGCCCTTATATCTTGAACTGCTAGGACATTCAGAAGCAGCAAATATTATCTCTTCGTTCAAATAATGTTTTTGCATTGCTGTCAAAACCATTAAAACTTGCCTCCAGTCAAATAGTAATTCTCAATATATTCTTCATAATGCAATCAGAAGTTCCCATCGCCCACACTTTTGGAAAATCATAACACTTCAAATTAACATCTTAAACTGCAGGTCAAGGGCATATGCACGATTTTGTATAAGCGATCTCGACATTTTAAAAAATTAGCAATCAAGTAACTGTAATCAACATCATTCTAACAAACACGTTAATCGAGGTGGATCCTTGCTTTATATATGATGAGTTCAAGCTTTTTAACATTTTATAACTGAAATTATGACTTTCCATTCCAAAGCAAAATAGTAAAAACAAATCTAAAATCAATACTTGATAGCACCAATCCTCAAAGAATATCTATACGATTAACTTTTATTTCACTAAAAAAATTATTAACCTTTATTAGCTCATTGGAAGTTAGGAAAGTAGAGCGTAGAGAACAACATAAGACATTTTTGAAATATCACTAAAAAGTTCCTTTTCTTCCGTAAATTTCACAATTTTTTAGGCTTCTCCCTGAGGTCAACATGAACAGATTCGATCCGGAATATGAGCTAGACTATGAACACTTCACTGTTGGAAGACAACATTCACTACCAACCAATAAAACTTGCAAAAAACAGTTTAAAGGTAAACATCTTAAAATTACTTACCACTACTCCATTTTGCATTGCTTCAATGTCCTTGTGCTTTTCTAAGAACTTTGAGAAACTTGGATCCTGAAAAAATTCAAAGGACAATGAACAACTTAGATGTGTAAGAGATTTCACCCTTTATATCAACAAATAAGTGGTGCACAACCTCTATGGCTCTATCCTTCAAAAAATATAAGAAACAGAGTACAGCCAGCAATCAAGTAGAAGGAACTACGACTACATGTACAATGCCCTCCAAAGCACATATTTGGAAAAAAAATGAAGCTACTTGTACTTTTTCAGGGAAAACAATAGTAATATTGATATATCATAAAGTTTGTGCTGGGGTATATTACAAAAAAAATACTAGAAAAGCATTGTACCATCTATTGCAAGCTATCTATACCGATAACAAGGTTTCCACGTCATTTACAAAATCCATCTTGACCCAACTACAACAACATACCCAATATGATCCCACAAGTGGGGTCTGGGGAGGGTGAGGTGTAAGTAGACCTTATCCCTTGTATACTTTTTGATACAAGGGTAACTTTGTATCCACAAAAAATTCGTTATCCAAGAGATGATGAATTGGAAACATACATCCAACAGGGTGATGTGCACACCCTCAAAAGGATATACAAAATTACAAGTTTCCTGTAAAATCAACTATTTCTATGATTTCCCCTACCAATTCTTGTTTACACCAAAAATAACAAGACTTACGCATTTCATTTTGATCTTCTAGAAACTTCCTTTTTGTCCTTCAAAAGTCAAAACATCTAGCATTCCTTTCTTTCCATAGAGTCCACCATATACAGGCTAGTATAGTCTTCCACCATTCTTCCTTTCTCCCTCTGCTGCCAAATCCTGTCGAGCTGCTACGGAGCTCTCTGGTTGTCTTTGACATCACCCAGCTAACCCCTAATATACACAAACATATTTCACAGATTTGAGGCTGCTTTACAGTGTAGAAAGAGACAGTTATTTACCTCTGTTTTCTGCTCGCATAAAACACCTCGAACAAAACTGCATACCCCTTTTTTTGAATGCCTCCTGGGTAAGGCAGGCTTTCCGTATGACTAGCCAAGTAAATATGAAACTCTTAATGGGCTTCTAGTCTTCTATACTAGTTTCCAAGGCCAACTATCTGACAATGATTTGACATTCATCTTCCAATGTGAAGGCCAGAAATTGCTTCAAACAGAATCAAGATGACTTTTAAATATTTCAGTTAATTTTTGTCTGCATCACAGAATTATTAGAGAGTCATTTGCATATTGTAGGTGTTATGACTCAAGTAGTTTGAGCCTGACTTGGGCCTTGGCCTTTTCTATCACGCTAAGAAGTAGATGTAAGGTTTGGGGACCAACATGGGCCTTTTTCCTTTATAGTAGCATCAAGTTTCTCAACGGAAGGCCCAAACAAGAGAGAGCTAATGACTTATTAAACAAGGGCATCTTCATCCTTTCCGGTCATCTGGCTTCCCTCCTTAGATTTTAATTTTTGAAACCTCCCAAGTATCATTAGAGCCCTTTGTTTATTCGGTAATACAAAATGTTGCCTCGTAAAATACACCCTCTTCCTTTTTTCCAAAAAGGACTCGTGATCTCTCAGTTGTTACAGTCAAATACATTTTAATATGTGTTAATAATGGCTATCTCAACCGATATAGTGATTTCAAAATCCCAATCCCAGAATCAAGAACTATTGATCACAATTAAGTTGAAAGGGCATTTAACTCGAATTCTTTCCATATGAGATCATTCCTCAACTTTGTTTCTTCCTCTATTTTAAGCCAAACCCAGACTTCTAACCAAAATCTTGAAAGATCGTGTCAGACCAAAGTTTAAAAGGAATCCCTAATAAAATCCACTTGCCGACAAATCCAAATCCAAAGTTGCATTCTTGTGTCTCCAAATACAATATTTATCATCTGAGCCTTCATTTTTGAGTTAAGCTCAAATAAAAAGTGAAACCGATGCACTTTGTTTATTAGATCCACTTGATACTTTGTAGTGTGCCGAGCTCCCAACACCAAGCAGGTTGGAATTTCGTTGTAACCATTCAAAAATTTCCCTACCAAACAATTTGGATAAGCCCTGCTGCTCTTTGTTTTGCGAATAATTTGCACAAGCCATGTCCTTTTTTCATTAACTACATTGTCTTGGCATACCTATTAAACTGAAGAAGATTTGGTAGTCTAGCACTACCATCAAATCTTCGTATCTTATCAAACTTAAATTCTGGAAGATTATACTGTTTTTCCTTTCACCTTGTTGCGGGTAGATAGAAATTTTGAATCACCGGGTATACATACAGCTGCTTGGATTGGTTCCACTTTTTGTAATTTTTTCCTTTGCTATCTAAAGCTGCAAACATCATGTGACAAGCCACAGCAACATACAGATGATGGTCATTCTTCTGATGTCATTTCTTCTTTCACCAAATGTTAGCAACACACTGCATGTACCCATACACTATATTTACACACATTAGTATAAGAACTATTTTGTAGCCAAGTCCATGAACATAGGGAACTATTGTACCCCACAGGACTGAATAATTCAATCAATTGAAGCTCAGTATACTATTTACAATCGTTTGGCATACTATTCGAACATAAAATAACATAAAAATACTTTTGAAAAAAGCATCCCAATAAATGCCAAACAAACTACAGATAAACATAAAATGATATCTTGGGGTTGATATCAAGGAATGCAGATTCAAATGAATAAACCACTCTAGAACAGAAGATGCTACATCAACTGCGTATTAACACATATCCCAAAGAAGATACTTGAGGCATATTTACTTTAGATACGCTAACTAGATGAGTTTCTTATCAAAGAAAAGATCAAAAGATTAGATGTCAGATTGGCAAAAGCCCTTGTAGTTTTGCTCTTTAGTGCCATCACAACAAAATCTCAAACATCAGCTGTCCATCAAAGAAAAGATGTGTTAACAGATCTCAGATTGGCAAAAGCCCTTGTAGTGTCCTCTCTGGTTAGTCACTTCAAATAATTTCCATAACAGTCAAATTACAAGCAAGAGGAGATGGGAAAAGTGTTTTCTATTCCTCAATCAGAAGGAAGTTCATCTACTTTTCTTTTTCATCATCCAAAACAATTTGATGTTAAATAGATAACTTGCTTTCTTCAACAGCTCAAAACCAACTTAACTTAATATCAATCATTTTAGTATTGATGTAACATATTTTACACTAAATAAATTACTTTCACATCCCAGAAAATTCTTTTGAGCACTATAGTACAATATCATAAAACTTTTTCTGTAAATCCACAAGGTTCATCTTTTGATCTCTTGAAAGACAATAGATTTAATAAGCAAAAGCAACCTACCTTCCTCTTCAACCTTTCTAGCTTTCTCTTTTGTATAGCAAGATTTTCTTGAATTTTTATGTTCTGCATCATCAATTCACTAGTACATTTGTCACCTGCACATCCATTAATGAATCAGAGGATTTGTGCTGTTGAAAGGAGGAAAGTTGGAAATAGGTAAAAAATGGAAGGGATGTTAAGATAAGGAACTAAAGACCAAGATAATCCCATGTAAGTCAGATGATGGACCTTCTAAAAGTTTTTCAGGTTCACTTTCTGTTCCATTTTCATAGTTTATATCCTGAAACATGGACATAAGACATTTAGATAAAGCAAAAGTTGACATTGAAGTACAGATGATTGCTTAATTGAAGATTGAGACCTCCGAAAGATATCCATCACTGTCTGAAGAATCAACAACACCATCACAATCATTTTCCATGAATGGTGCCTCAAGAGGCAAGTCTTCAAAAGCTTCAACTTCGGTGTTTCTGAAAATTTATGACTAAACATGTGATTTACGTGACAAGATAGAAACACCAGGAACAAAAATTCCAGCATACAAGGGATGAAACAGTGCTGTTAAAAGCTCATTTATGCACTGAAGCTCAGAAAAGCTCAGGGATGATGCTTTGCCTCATGTAAGTTGTGCTTCAACGTAGGCACGGCACTAAGATGTGTGCCTTATTACCCAAGAAAACTATCTTAAACAACAAATTTAAACAGCAAAGAGATCTATTTGTTCGACAACCTCAGCAAAGAGACACACTAATTGCTTAGCAAGACATTATGAAGAATCTGTCAGCTTCTTGCACGATAGATAGATTTTTATTTCTTTTCCTTCACAATACCTTCTTTTACTAACACTGATACTTTCATTGTGGTTGTGCTTAAATCCCCAATAGACCTCAAGCACTTCTAAAGCTTTTTTTTCTTTGACAACACTGGGTTGAACAGACCTTTTTTGTCGATATCAAGGGGTCAAATGCTGAAAAATTGAAGTAATGAAGAAAGGCAAAGCCACAAGTTGAAACACATTGCGAGAAACTTAGATTTTACAATTCCATA